AACCCCTTTAGGGGCTTTCTTTCCTTAGAAATGTATCCTGTGTTCTCATTTTGAGGGACAAAACGTAACAAGTACTGGGCATAATAAAAAGAATTGCCTCTAAACCTACACAGCCTTCACTCCCCACACCTCCCTTTTGAATGTAAATGTGGGCAATACCAGGAAATGAGCCGGGCACAATATTTGCGCTAGGTCCTCATATCTCCACTCTCCTATTTGGAGTCTTAGGTAAACATGCCCCCAGCCAGAGAGCCAGCCCTGTGCGAACCCTGCAGCCTCTTCAATAAAGCACCTCCTCGAAATTCTGATTCACATCTCTCAAATCCATTGTAATCCTTCACAGTCAGAAAACAAAAGCCACTGTACTGAGCTTAAAATAGTAAGTGCCTTACACTGAAAACACCTTTAATATCTAACTCTACTAAACATCGGGAGAGAATGCTTATTTCGGGAGTCATCTCACTTGTTCATGGGCATTTAATGCATAAATCTCAAGTATACATTATGATATGTTATTATATGAAAAGTATACAGTATAGGTCGTGCACACAGGAATGCAGTACTGTTACTAGTATATAATCCTTCTGCTGTAGTACGAAGTAATGTAAGTCCTGCACACAAATGCACGCCTCACAATACGGAGTGTTACACATCATGCTAACATGTGTACTATTCATAACTCTATACCATTCAAAATGCTAATTGTCACTTTTTTTTCAAAGTCCAAGCATTTGTTTTGGAAGAATAAGGCCAAAGCTCACATTGTTCTAACTGTATGGCCAGCTGCTGGCTTTACCACAATGAGACGCATTGTTGGGTAAATGGAGTCCCTCAGGTGAATGTAATTATGCAAATCCTTCCCTAACTACCAGCACTCTCTTGGCCCTCCCCGCTGGCCGCCCACCACTGGGAACACTGTCAGATCGCATTACCGGAGGGCTCACTTGTTTGCTGGGAGTATCCTCCCCGCATTCTCCGGAAAAGAACCTGCTGCGGGCCCTGTCCCCGTAAGGCCTGTGGGCCCACTCGGGACCTCACCAGAAGACCAAGCTTTTTTCACCAGCTGACACATTTCTTCACTATATCTCGAGCATTGGAAAACATGCCTTTTAATTCCCTAAGGTGGTGTCTACCACCCCTTGTTCAACGGCAGGCCTGCACAAAGATGTTTCTAACGCCAGAGGCAAGAGAGAGGGAATGAATGAGGCTCCTTCACTGAAGCCCCTGGAAATGATGTAGACACACAGTCAAGTATCATTCACACACACACACACACACACACACACACACACACACTTCTTCATTCACTCCAGAACAATCTTAAGCGGTTATGCAATCACGCATTTTAGCACCCCTCATCCACGACATGAGAACACGGGTGACATGACTTATTTATTGACATAACTATAGACATACTTAGAAATAGGGAACCTGGACAAAAAAACTCTCTCGAAAATCCCCACCCCGTTTAATTTACATGGGTCACTCGTGTGTGGGGGTCATTTTTTTTCCCACAGTTTTGGTGATTTCCCACAGTTACCAAAATAGAACTCCGCCTAGAGTGAGCCCTGCATAAATGTGGAGGGAATGCCCTACTTAAACTAACTTTTGTTTACCTTCTAGAACCAGCTCAACCAAATAAGAAACTTACCTTAGTTATTGTCAGGCCTCTGAGCCCAAGCCTATCTCCCTTCACTGACTCTCTTTTCGGACTCAGCCTGCCTGCACCCAGGTGAAATAAACAGCTTTGTTGCTCACACGAAGCCTGTTTGGCGGTCTCTTCACACGGACGTGCGTGACAATTATTATCTGTGTTATTAGTGAGTAATACTTCATTTCTCAACATTTTGTAAATTGCACTTTGCCGTTTAACCTATTGACAAGAGAGTTTGAATGAAAAGTAAAATATCAAGACAGTGAACCAAACAATACTTCTCTGAAGAAAATAAAGTAGCCAAAAGAGGTTAAAAACACAGAACCGTGAATACAAAATTCATTTACTTTAACTCTAACTCAGCCTTGATAGCAAGATGATTCCTGAAGAATGAGATATTTTAAATCCCAACACTATAAAATCTGTAAAAACGTCAGAGAAGGTATGAGTGAGACTAAGCCTTGGTTAGCAGAAGGAAAGGAGAGGAAAGAGATCAAACCTACTGGAAAAGAACTTTCTTCTTTCAGAGCTGAGCCCAGACACAATGGCAGTAAGAAAGAAGGAGCCTCACTTGTTCCTTTCGCTGTTCGATTATTGTGGATGGAATCAGAGGAAATGGGAAGGTCTGTGGGAGGAAGTGAATAGGGTGCTTTGTCTTTTTAAGCTTTTTCTGGATCCTGCAGTTTTACTTTAACAAAAGAAAAAGGGATCTGGGCCCTGGTAATAAAATATAGGTTTGCATAACCTTTCATCTTAATTCAAGAGCCCCTAGGTTGAGGTGTACAAAGTAAGAATAAATTTATGTATTGTAACCAACCGCAACTCTACTCAAGATTTGTAAAAGAGTGTCTGTCGCATGTAGAAAATATAGAACAGACTTTCTAACTAAACTGTTTCCTCACATCCTGATTATAATATTTAAATTTTTTCATTATTTCTAGCTATTGTTTAGTTCGTTCTGTTGGCAATAAACCGTGCCAGGCATTTTACTCATGGGATCATCTTTATTCTTCAAAGCAATCACATCAGTTGGAATTATTATTATTATTATTATTATTATTATTATTATTTTGAGATGGAATTTAGCTCTTGTTGCCCAGGCTGGAGTGCAATGGCACGATCTCAGCTCATTGCAACCTCTGCCTCCCAGGTTCGAGGGATTCTCCTGCCTCAGCCTCCTGAGTAGCTGGGATTACAGGCATGCGCCACCATGCCCGGCTAATTTTGTATTTTTAGTAGAGACGGGGTTTCTCCATGTTGGTCAGGCTGATCTCGAACTCCCGACCTCAGGTGATCCGCCCACCTCAGCCTCCCAAAGTACTGGGATTACAGGGGTAAGCCACCACGCCCGGCTAGGTGGAATTATTGTCTTCATTTTACTGAAGAGGACACTGAGGCCCATCTACATTGAGAAAGGAACAAGAAAGTATATGGGTCTGCTACAAAGCAGGTCCCACAGTGGAGCAGATCTCGGGGTCTCCTGCCCTTTGTGGCCTCTTCTCTGATACTCTCCTCTGGAAAGTTGGCCTGAATAAGTCCACACAAGGAGTCTGGAGCCTGGAAGGCCCAAGTCAGCTGTCAAGGTCGCCAGTGAAGGCAGAAACTCATCAGCCCTCACTGAAGAAGTCACCAGTAAAGGCTGCTGACACATCATGGGCACATCCTCTGGTCACTCCTGGGAAACTGAACTTCTTTTGTCTAAAATACAAATTGTATCCACGTGAACCTAAAGATTTCTTAAGTTTCTGAATTTTCTTTAGTGTCATGATTCCATCTGGAAATTGTTCTCATTTCTTGGAAGTACCTGCTTGTTGTGAGATGTTTACATTATGGGAGAAGAGGAGAAAATTTAAATACAGTAGTCCACCTTATCCTTGGTGGATTATGTCCCAAGCCCCACAGTGTGTATCTGAAACCCTGGATAGCACAAACCCTGTATATACTCTTTCTTTTTATACATACACACCCATGAGAAAGTCTAATGTATAAATTAGGCATAGTAAGAGATTAACAATAATAACTAATAATAAAATAGAACAATTATAACAATAGACTGTAATAAAAGTTATGTGAATGTAATCTCTCTCTCAAAACATCTTATTGTGAATACTGAATCTCAAAAAGTAAAACTGTGGGTAACAGGGGACTACGGTAATGCAGACAAATATTTTCTAAATAATATTTCCTCAGTGAGGCAGATAAAGAATTGTGTCTGATATTCTACATAAAAAACAAAATTTTGCATCTTTTTGACTGATTGGGTTGTAAGGGAGAAAACCCAATTTTTTTCTCACCCATCACTAGGTCCGTGACTGAGTCACTTGTCAGAGGCGTTTGAACCAGAGCAACTCTATCTTGAACAGGAGCTGGGTAAAACGAAGCTGAGGCCTACTGGGCTGCATTCCCAGATGATTAGGCATTCTAAATCACAGGATGAGATACGAGTTCAGCACAAGATATAGGTCATAAAGACCTTGCTGATAAAATAGGTTGCAGTAAAGAAGTCAGCCAAAACCCAGCAAAACCAAGATGGCGACTAGAGTGACCTCTCTTCGTCCTCACTGCTACACTCCCACTAGCACCATGACAGTTTACAAATGCCATGACAACATAAGAAAGTTACCCTATATGGTCTAACAAAGGGAGGCATGAATAATCCACCCCTTGTTTAGCATATTATCAAGAAATAATCATAAAAATGGGCAACCAGCAGCCCTCGGATCTGCTCTGTGTATGGTGTAGCAATTGTTTTATTCCTCTACTTTCTTAATAAGCTTGCTTTCACTTTATGGACTTGCCCTGAATTCTTTCTTGAGTAAGATCCAACAACCCTCCTTGGCATCTGGATCCAGACCCCTTTACCCTAACACACCTATAGCAAAAGACAGATTAACAAGAAAAAGAGCAAATTTATTTAATATCACAACCCAAACAAATGTTTTCTCCTGCTGGCCTGAATTGAGACAGGAAGCACTAGGAGAAATTTTTACCCCGTCTTTTTTTTTTTTTTTTTTTGGAGACAAAGTCTTGCTCTGTCACCCAGACTGTTGCTTACTACAACCTCCACCTCCCAGGTTCAGGCGATTCTCATGCCTCAGCCTCCCAGGTAGCTGGGATTACAGGTGTGAGCCACCATGCCCAGCTAATTTTGTATTTCTAGTAGAGATAGGGTTTTACCATGTTGGTTAGGCTGGTCTTGAACTCCTGACCTCAGGTAATCCACTTGCCTTGGCCTCCCAAAGTGCTGGGATTACATGGGTGAGCCACCGCACCCGGGCTTACCTCCTGTCTTGACTGGGCATTACAGATAGAGATGCGGAGAGCTGACCTAGGTGAGAATTCCTACCTTCTGCTGGCTTTTTGTCGGTTGTCTCAGGATCCTTTCTGCAGGCTTCAGAGGGAGTGTGATGTCTCCATTGCCCCGTGTTGGGCACCAGAAACTGTAGAGGAGAACAAGTAATATCTTTTCATCACATCAAGATTCAAGGTTGAGGCCCTACACAGAAGACAGATTAACAAGAGAGAAGCATACGAATTAATTTTTGTTTTGTTTTGTTTTGTTTTTTTGAGACGGAGTCTCGCTCTGTCACCCAGGCTGGAATGCAGTGGCCAGATCTCAGCTCACTGCAAGCTCCGTCTCCCGGGTTCATGCCATTCTCCTGCCTCAGCCTCCCGAGTAGCTGGGACTACAGGTGCCCGCCACCTCGCCCAGCTAGTTTTTTGTATTTTTTAGTAGAGACGGGGTTTTACTGTGTTAGCCAGGGTGGTCTTGATTTCCTGCCCTCGTGATCTGCCCACCTTGGCCTCCCAAAGTGCTGGGGTTACAGGCTTGAGCCACCGCGCCCAGTCATGAGTTTATTTAATGTAAGTTTTATGTTATACTGGAGACTTCAGAAATAAAGACACAAGGAGACAGGGAAACCTGTGTATTTTTATGTTAAGTTTGATGAAGAAGTGGATCCTTGTGGAGAAGTGAGATTGGACAAAAGGGTTATGATCAAATGGTGATAAACGGGGGCAAACTTAGCAAGGGATGCTTGTTCAGATTCTTCTCCACATCCTTGTGTCTTTCCCTTTGGGATAGGACAGCATCCCTGGAATAAGAGTTTTATGACCTGCTACAGAGAGAAGAGTGTGGGGAGGTGAGGGAGGCTTTCCTGCTTCTGCTGTTTTCTCAAGTGCCAAGCAAGGTACCGTATCTAGGAGAGCATGTCCTGAACCCTGTCATTGTGTTATACATACGTTTTAAATTATCTGCGGCCTCAGCACAGTATTAAGAGTCAGGATTCTTGTCTTGTTCCAGTTTACTGCTCATATCAGTGTCTAAAAGGGAATAAATTCTTTTTTTTTTTTTTTTTTTTTTGAGATGGAGTCTGGCTTTGTCACCCAGGCTGGAGTGCAGTGGCACAATCTCGGCTCACTGCAAGCTCCGCCTCCTGGGTTCACACCATTCTCCTGCCTCAGCCTGCTGAGTAGCTGGGACTACAGGCACCTGCCACCACGCCCGGCTAATTTTTTTTGTATTTTTAGCAGAGACGGGGTTTCACCATGTTAGCCAGGATGGTCTCGATCTCCTGACCTCGTGATCCACCCACCTCGGCCTCCCAAAGTGCTGGGATTACAGATGTGAGCCACTGCCCTGACCTTTTTTTTTTTTTTTTTTCCTTAAACAATGTCTTGCTGTGTCACCCAGGCTGGAATGCAGTGGCCCAATCACGGCTCACCTGGGTCAACCTGGGCTCAAGTGATCCTCCTACCTCAGTCTCCCAAGTAGCTGGGATCACAGCTGTGAACCATTGCATCCAGCTAATTTATTTATTTTTTTGTAGAGATGGGTCTCCCTGTGCTGCCTAGGCTGATCTCAAACTCCTATACTCAAGCAATCCTCCTGCCTCAGCCTCCCAAAGTGCTGGGATTACAGATATCAGCTGCTGCACCCAGCTGAAGTGGGTCTTGGTCTATTTACCAAGACCCAAATTATATTAGCTATACAATATAAAACAGTAAACAAGCTGTCAGTCTGAAGCCAGAACTGTACTAGAAGTATTTTAAAGGCCCATATTCCTTATATAAAATGCAGATTGCAGTAACACCTTGCTAACTAACAACCACAGCTTCCTCTAAGTGTCCCTTCCCAGCCTCTCCACCGCAGGGCCACTGGAATTCTGAAAGATGTGCAGCTGAATGCCGCCCTAGAAACTAAATTGTACTTTGCCTTTCAGATGTTCTAAAACCATCAGTGTAAGCACTGGAAAAGAAAAAATGAAAAAAATAACCCAGACTCACCTCTCAACTTTAAAGATTCTAATAATCTTTCAAAAGACAGTTTTGCAACCAGAGAAGTAGGGGGCAGTAAATGGAGATCTTTTTTCACTTGTAGTCTCGGGCTTAGGTATTGAAAGGAAATAGGCACTGGGAGCGTTTCACGGTTGAGGAGGCCAAAGCAGGTACGGCTGAAAATCTGCTGTCTCTTCCACCTGAAACTGTCATCTCAGAAACACTGCTGCCCATTGATCCCAAGCCAGAGCAGTGGTTTCTGGGGTTGTTAGAGGGGTTTTTCTTGGCTGCCAGGCTGACAGCAACACAGACCCTAGAAATGACAACTGAACAATAGGAAAATTCTACCATGTTGGTATTAATCATTACAAAGGAAAGCCTGTTCCCTGATGCTGGCAGCAAAAACCTAGAGCAGGGAGTCAGTCCCTTTGCTCCCCTCCTTCTGACCAAATTCAGGCACCAAAGCAATCAAACAAGGGTAAGGTAGATAGGAAGAGGGAGAAAGCCTGCTCAAAGGGCAAATTCTCATATTTTCTTAGAAAAAGTACCTTTGTAACTACGGTGAAGTGCATTGTTATCAGATAAAGGCCCGTGTAGCAGCCTGTACAACTGAGTGACTAATAGTTTATTATTTGATGCTGATGATTAATACAACAAAGCACCAATAAGTGACTCAATCTTCAATCCCTAGTCAGAAGATTTTATCAGGTGCTTGCTAAACACTTGCATGGAAATATGAATAATCGTTTAACTGAATAATATTCTTCCAAGTGTACGTAGAAAAGGGGTGTGTTTCAGCATCTCCTGGCTTAAATGAATACATAAATAGATCTGTTTTATTTATTTATTTATTTATTGAGATGGAGTCTCACTCTATCGCCCAGGTTGGAGTGCAGTGGCGCAATCGTGGCTGACTGCAACCTCCGCCTCTTGGGTTCAAGTGATCCTCCTGCCTCAGCCTCCTGAGTAGCTGGGACTACAGGCACATGCCACCACATCTGGCTAATTTTTGTATTTTTAGTAGAGTTGGGGTTTCACCACATTGGCCAGGCTTGTCTTGAACTCCTTACCTCAAGTGATCCACCTGCCTTGGCCTCCCAGAAGACTGGGATTAGTCATGAGCCACTGGGCCCGACCAGGTCTATTTCTTTTAATTTTCCTATGTTTTCTTTGTCATCCATATTCTAGTAACATGCAGGGTCAATGAAAAGCTGCTCGTCTTCTTGTGAACATGGTCGTGTCTGCTGGCCTGGAGGTGCTGGCGTTCGCATTATTTTCCTTCTCAGCATTGCCTATGATTTGTTACTATTGTTAGGGATATAAAGTAACAGTAAAGAAAATTTGGAAGATGGATACAGTAAATCCCAACTATTTTCCCTTTTGAAAATTTCTGTCTAGTATTAGTTCTTAGACATTCTCATTTGTTTATATGGTAGCTCATTTCATATACGTGTAATGATAGACCCTGCGTTCCTTTACTGAACATTTCATAGTGGCCATTTTACCTTCTTTATGTAGGCTACTATGTATATATATAATTTTTAAAAATAGATAAGTTCTTGCTCTACCACCCAAGCAGGAGTAGGAGTGTAGTGGCATGATCACTGCTCACTGTGGCCTCATCCTTCCTAGCTCAAGCCATCCTCCTGCCTCAGCCTCATGAGTAGTTGAGACTACAATTGTACACCACTGAGCATGGCTAATTTTTTAAATTTTTTTGTAGAGACGAGGTCTTGCTATGTTGTCCAGGCTGGTCTCCAACTTCTGGGCTCAAACAATCCTCCTGTATCAGCCTCCCAACGTGCTGAGATTACAGGTGTAAGCCACCACACCTGGTCATATTTCAAATGACTTCATTGCACCATAATTTAATTAATGCCTTATTGTTGAATATATAGCTTGTTTTCTTCCTTTCTTTCTTCCAACTTATTAACTTCAAATCCTGTCTTCTTCCTTTCTTCCTGTGCTAAATCCTACCTCTTCTTATTTATTTTGGCGTTTTTATACCAAGTTTCCAGAAGTGGAATTATTGTCTCAAGGCAAATAAACATTTTTACTGTTCTTTATATAATATTGTTCAATTATTTTCCAAAATATTTGTAGCAATTCACACTGCCAGCAATAGAAGATGAGAGTAGCAAATTCCACACCCTCTTCTAACAGTTTGAATTGCCAAAAAATCCTCACACTTTGATGCATATCTTTTATTTTTAGTGAGGTTCACAATTTTAAGTCTTTTATTTACTTATTATGCTTCTTTTGTTGAAATATTCATTGATCTACTAGAATCTCTATGTTTTTCTTACCAGCTTGTATGACTGTTTTAAATAGTAAAGAATTTGCTGTATTTATCATTTTTGCTATATTCAGTTTTCACAACCTCTTGTATGTGGTTAAGGAAGATTTTTTTTTTGAGATGTAAATGCTTTCAACATTTCTTTTCCTCCTTCCTTCCTTCTTTCCTTCCTTCTTTCCTTCCTTCCTTCCTTCCTTCCTTCCTTCCTTCCTTCCTTCCTTCCTTCCTTCCTTCTTTCCTCTCTTTTTTTTTTTTCCCCCAGAGTCTGGCTTATTGCCCAGGCTGGAGTGCAGTGGTGCGATCTGTGTTCATTGCAACCTCCGCCTCCCAGGTTCAAGCAGTTCTCCTGCCTCAGCCTCCCGAGTAACTGGGATTACAGGTGCCTGCCACCGTGCCCGGCTAATTTTTGTGTTTTCAGTAGAGACGTTGTTTCACCATGTTGGCCAGGCTGGTCTCGAACTCCCTACCTCAAGTGATCCACCCACCTTGACCTCCCAAAGTGCTGAGATTAAAAGGCGTGAACCATGGCACCTGACTTCAACATCTCTTTTTTTTTTTTTCCTCGCTCTGTCACCAGGCTGGAGTGCAATGGCACAATCTCGGCTCACTGCAACCTCCGCCTCCCAGGTTCAAGCAGATCTCCTGCCTCAGCCTCCCGAGTGGCTGAGATTATAGGTGCATGCCACCACGCCCAGCTAATTTTTGTATTTTTAGTAGAGATGGGGTTTCACCACATTGGCCAGGCTGTTCTTAAACTCCTGACTTCATGATATGCCCACCTTGGCCTCCCAAAGTGCTAGGATTATAGGCGTTAGCCACCATGCCCAGCCCATTTCTTTAGCTAAATTTATTGACTTCTGGCATTGTGATTTCATCTTCTAAAGTTAATAAAGTAATCCAGCAATTAGATATTTGATAAATATTCAACTTTTTCTGTAAATTAAAATAATATTTAGTTTTTTTACTACATCATGTAGCGTATGATACAAGTATAAATGGATTTT